CTCGAACTTGGCCCGACTTCAAAGCATCCCATGCAAGTCTAGTGTGTTGTTCACTGTTGAATACCCATATCAAAGAAGCTGTTGACAATTCTTGTATCCTCACTGCAGATCAAGTCAACATGTGGCCTTAGTTTTTCAGTAATTCTAGACGCACTCATCGCTTTTAGCCAAGTTTATTATCTCTAGAATAGCCGTACAGGCTATCAGGCGTAAGCATCTACTGCACTATTTTAGACTAGCATTTGAACTGCTTTAATTTGTATCAGAACAGACAATTTAATTAGGACATTGATGACATATATCATCAACACCGGTGCTCTGACGATGTAAGTCGAATCGGCTCATTGAGGATATTTGACTCAAAGCCCCAAAGGTGTTTTTCGATAGCGACTATTATAACGGTACTCATTATTGAGGTTGCATGCATGTTTTACTTATGTACATTGTACCAGTTTTGGTCAGCGGCCTTGAAGAACAATCTAGTCTTTGCTGTCCTATGTGGGATCCAGAGCAAACATACGCATTATTTAGATCGGCTGTTCCTTTCACTGACACGCTGCAAAGTTTATGCAAATTCGCTCATCGCTGTGTGCGGCGTTTATCCTATGGCCTAGGCTAGACTGATGATGCTCAATGTTCTTACAGGCTGAACGCCCGACAACGCCACAAAGCTGAGCAGAAGCAACCTTCTAGCTTCGTCGACATCGAGTTACGTGGTGGTCGCGGATCGTTCAGACCGGTACGCATAATTTTTATCAGTTTTCGACCAGTGACCTTATGTTGACGGTGACGTCGGAGTAGCAAAACATTGAGATATTCCGCGATATAACAGAGGTTATTAATCATATTGTAAACAAGAGAAGCTCCACTGTAATGAGTACGGTGCACTAGGTACTTCTGTTATAGGTTGTGTAATCGCAATTCGTGTCGGCGTGGTGTGCGCAGAATAGGTTGGCACGTTTGGAGAATAGTACATATTCTGCTTCGCACTTCTTACACAGTAATGGTTACGTCTTCTGCACGCAACGATCTGTACAAACTTCATCCTTCTCATCGCTAACAGCAATCTCAAAATTGATGGGCCACCCTTGGGAAACTTTGTGGCGGAAACTCGCGCGCGATCTCGCAGCATAATTGATCCGCTTGCCTCTTCGTTTCTCTCTCTGCAGACTCGAGCGCCAACAGGGATTATGGGTGTTGAAGACAGATTTCCTCTCGCTCCTCGTTCCATGGCCTATACGTACGAATAGTCCCAGTCGAGTGAGATCTTAGAACTAGGATTTTGTACGACCACCTCCAGCGAGTGGCGCAGGACCATGCAAGCGAAAGCTCTGAGATTTTGTACGGATTGTCATATGCATCCGCCATTTGCCTTCTGGAAAGTGCTGCGGTAAGCGCGAATGAGGTGATAGACGTCGTGTGACACTGCTTCTAGAGATGTCGGCGCACTGACTCCGTTTCGCCTTTGAGGAATATCCAGAGACGATGTAGACGGCCTTACATTGACTAGATCCATCCATGATGCTCCGAGACCGAATGAAGCGCTACGCTATCAGCTGTCCCACCAGAATGCTGCCAAACTCAAATTTACTCTGAAGACGACCCTGCTATCTATTGCGGATTATTATGCGGATGATATAGACAGTGATACAGGTGCGCAGCTATCGTTCTTTACAGGGCTGACTTTCGCATCTCGCGCGACCAAAAAAATTGAGATGATTGAATTGGATTTGCCTCGCAACTCCCAGATGAAATTCGGGCGAAGGAAAAGCGGACCCTCGAACGAGTCTCTCATTCGAGATCAATAAGAACGTATACGAAAGCTCGTCGGACAGATAAGAGTGATACGTTCGCGCATCGCCAAGGACAAGGGCATTCGGGATCCTCATTCGTTCCAGATACCTCCACGGCTAGAGGAGAAACTAGTGGATGGGCTGACGCCCCTGTCCTCACTGGTGAATGCCGCCTGCATTGCGCAGGCGGACGTTACCGCTGTCTCCGTCGAGACTGCCCTGCTGAAGCTGTCCATCCTCCACGCCCGAGCCCACATTGCGCTGTACGGCCACAGCTCACCTAATGGCGCTCGGTGGTACCACGAACCAGGCGGCTGCCCTCAACAAGCTCCGCTACAGGGAACGGGCGCAGGAGAATGAAACACGTGATCTTGATGAAAAGCTCGCTCCATACGAGTGCCTTCTCGGGCGTGTCGACAGGCGGTGGCCGCGGACATGGCCCGAGTCAGGAAGGAGGCGAAAGAGTGCAAGAAGGATTTACGATGGCTCAATTGGACTGGAGACTGACCTGGACCCCAGGGTGAGCCCTGTGGATGTGCTACGGGCCTTCGTCTTGTACTGAACCGGGTAGGCTTCACACGCGTGCTGTCGGTGATGTGCCCAGGTTACCGATCTCTCACTTGCGAGGGTGTCGTCGTCCGCGGATGCCCGCGCCTCGCGCACGTCGACGTCGACACGGACTGGGTCCTCGAGCAGGCCGCCCTCGCCCAGGTGGCATGGTGTGCCCAGCGCCGTGCAGAGTTAGGCTGCCCGCTGGAGAGCCTGAGCGTTACGCTCAACCCGTGCGCGGAGTACTCGCCCGACACGCTCGGCGGGCTAGCGAAGGACGTCACGATCTGACGACGGCGGCTGGTCGGCCAGAGCCCGGCGGGCCTGCGTCGAACAAAAGAATGAGAGGCATATGTACTGCAGTTGAAAGGTTGTTTATGAAAGGATCACCACGATGGGACTTTCGACAGTTGTCTAATGGCAGTACAAGTTATTAGTTATAATTATGACTAGCACTAGTGTAGAACACACATACCTCGGAATACGAGCTGCTTTGTTATCCCAGTCCACTCGTCCTGCAAAGAGGCACAGTACCCATCGTGCGCAGAGCTCAAGCTATGACAGGCGAAGACCACATTATGGTCCATGGCACGGCGTCGACCACGAAGCACAGCGCAGGTACCCCATCACGTCGAATCAATATAGTTATACACAACATTCCTCTCACTTATTTATCCCATATAAATACACCTACCTCCTCCTCATACACACCTACAACAAAAAACATTCAATGCACCTCCACAGAAGCCGCCTCACTGTCCGCAAGCTGCTTCCTCTTGTGTACATTCTGATGCCTCGCCAGCTGATCCGGCCGCGCAAATGACTTGTTGCACCCGGGCTCCATGCACAGATACGGCCGCACACCAGTGTGAGTCCGAAGCTGGGGGTAATATTTAAGCTCTCAGCCCCGTATCAGAGAGGGAGGACCACGCACGTGTTTCGACAGGTTGGATGACTCCGCGAATGCCCTGCGATGGTCCGATCAGGATCGAGATTCAAAATGCGACAATCCATGTCGCACGCACCTGTCACAGTATGTACATTTGAATGGCTTGTGGCCGTTATGGGTCCGCTTGTGTATCGTGAGCGCACCGGTGATAGCGAACGCCTTGCCGCAGCCGGGGAAGTCGCACACATACGGCTCTAGAAGTCGCGGTCAATCCTTATAGTTGCCGTGACGGAACGCAAGACGATAGCACTCACTCTCTTGTGTATGTCGGCGCATGTGCTGTGCGAGCGTGGCGGCTTCTGAGAAGTTCTGGTTGCATACTTTGCATTGGAACGGCCGGCACCCGGTATGGCTCTGGATTGAATGACGGCCAGTAGCGCGAACAGCGAGAGGCTGACTGAAAACAACCCAATCCGTGTGGGCGGAAAGCATTGCTTTCTGCTCATCAAATACACCGTCC